TTTTTGCACCGAAATTTATTCAGTTTTTTACTTTATTGCTTTGTATATTTACGTAAAACGGATGCCTCATTCTATGTAATGTTATAAAACTTTTCGAGGCAGCCACACAGGGAAGCCCATCTGTTCCATCTTTGAACCGAGTGGGAATCACTGTAGTAACTAAAATATGTTATGGATGCTGAGAGTTACTGAGGACTAGAAGTTACTTGGTGAGCTGTCTTTCCACTTTGTGTCCTCATTAAGTTTTCGACTGAGATGACTTTAGAAATATAAGTTGCTAAACATTACTAGAGGATAAAACCACCAAACATAACTTATTATTAATGTTATTAGTAACGTTATATCAGCGCTATTTCTGAAGCACGTTACGGGACTGAAAATAGTCAGACATCGTGTACTGGGACAAATGATTCTTTTGATTTGAGTGAGTGGAGTTTAGGATGATCATGTGCTTGGATTAACTTACAGTTTGATTCTTGCTTCAACAATAACTACTGCTTGCAATGTTTAACAAAAGTTTATCTATTCCCGAAGTGTGGCGTAGTTTTATGAATTTCTTCAGGTTAGAGAAGACTTTTTACTTGTTATGTTTGCTGTATTGTTGCTTTCTGTCCTTCTTTTATCCTAAAATTGCTGTTTATTGAGAGTTGAAAATTGAATTTGTTTAAACAGTCACAAAGCAAGGTTTTCTAATAGCATGCAGGCAGAAGTCATAAGAAAGTGTGGAGTGCACAGAAATGGGCAAAAAAATTAAATTTGAAGAGTACATTTATAGGTTGGAAGGTTGGTTGAAAGGATCTGAGTTAATGCGGATTTTCAAAGTGTAAGAATTTGCGAGAACAAGAATTTTATAGGTACCATTAGAACTTCTCAACATATTTTAAATTTTTGCTTTTTTTTTGGCTCTTTTTTCAACAGTGAATCGTCTTACCAGAAGAATAAGAAGCGTCGTTTTAAAAAAACAGATCTGGTGCTGCCTACATCAACGCCAGTTACTATACTATTCTTAAAAAGCATTTTTTATTCTAATGTAAATTTGATCGATTGAGTTACGAGTAACAGTTAGCCATATAAATGCAATGCTTTGGAGGCTTCACACTACTCCTGAACAAGCGATTATTTTTTCTGCTTGAAAAATAATTCTTGTAGGTAAATGGTGTATTTTAAGATCCTAAAATGACC